CAAACTCTGAATTGAGGTTATAGAGTGTGAATCTAACCAGAGTTACCAGGAAGACTTCTCCTCTGGGTTGATATATGGGAAGACGAGGCCATGGGCCAGCCTGACACTCACAACGTGGGCCCATTCATTGACAATTGGAATCTTGCCACTAAGTATTTAAAGATTAGATTAATGCATTTGTAGGCCCTACGGAAGCCTTTACTTGATAACGTGGGCCCAAAAGGTGGTTTCCTTCTGTCAGTTTAAGTGTCAATTTTTTTATCGTTTAAAATAAAGAAAAAAATATATATTAGTCAATTTTTAAAAATATTTAGAGTTTTAATTTTAAATTATATTTTTTTATTTAATTAAAATTTAATTTAAAATTTAAAAATTTATTTTATTAATTATTGATATTTAAGTTCAAAAATTGATTAAATTTTTATGTTTAAAAGGATCAATCAACGGCCAAGAGTTTGAGATTTCAAATTGAAGATCTCAAATTCAAATCTTGAGTTGTGTAGGAAGAGATTTAGTAAAAGAGGAGAATTATTTCTTTTTTTTTAGGAGTCATAATTGATATGTACTAATCTCTTAAAATAATTTAAATTGTAAAATAAATATCTTTAAATAAGGTAAGGCCTTAATATTTATTAATATTTATTAACATTAGAAATGCGCAATAATGAACCCTTTAATGTTAAATTAAAAAAAAACTCTTAATTAAATTTTATCATAAAATCTTTTGTAGATAATTTTATTATACATACAAATTTTTTATATAACTTTTGCGTATTATTAAATGAATGAATGTATAAAATATTATGAGTTTTAATAGATTAAAAAGTGTTGATTATTAAATGATATGTAAGATGATATGAAAAAAATTATAAAAAAAAATTGCCACTAATAATTTTTATTAAATATAGTTTAAAAATTATGAGTACAAAAATTTGATTAAACAATAATTAAACTAACAGTTAAAATTTTAAAATATTAATTATCTTAAAAATTATAAACATCTGTTAATGTTTTTATGTGTCATAACAAATTTCATTGAAAATGTGAGATAATGATTTCAACTCTTGTGGTTTGCAAGTTGACTAAATTAAGAGATAAGAGTTATTATTTTTTATTATACAATTTAAAATAATAAAAATATAATATAAGTGTTCTAATAAGTGCACAAGAGCTTTAATAAGCAAAGCTTTGTAATGTATGGGAGACACAAGTTCATGCGAAAAGAGAACTTTTGCGACTTCTTTGAAGGAAAAATGCTGCAGCTTCTTTGTAACTTCTGCTACCCATCTCAAACGTGAAATAGACCACTTGTCTATTGAGGGTGGTTAATTGTACCTTTTCACCAAACCATTGGCATCTTTGAAAAAAAAGAGAAAAAAAAGGGCAGCAAAATTCAATTGATGCCTTTGCTCTACCTGAAACGCATGAGAACCCTCGTGTTTGGTTGATTGTTAAATATGGCCAGATGCCCTATTAACCATAAAAGTTCATACACGCCCATAATTAAAGGGTGCTTCAAAGCCAATGATATAAATAGTTCAATAGTCATCTCCTTTCATTGAAAGTAAAAAATTTTGAATTCGAGTTACATGATATGTGGTTAGAGTAGAATAAAAAATAAGAGAGTTGATTATTTCTTATTGTGTAATTAAGCTAAAAAAAAAAAGAGTGTCTCAAATGATTAAAATCTTGAGATTTTAAATTAAAGATTTTAAGTTAAAAACTTAATATAAGAGGTAAAAAAATAAAAATAATAAAAAATTATTTATATTATATAATCTATCATCAAATCTACTAAAATAATAATACTAATAGAAGTTTATTCACAAGAATAAGAGCTACTCTTATATCATTCATCTTTTGGCACATGAAAAAACTGAAATAGTCAGTCAAGTATTAGGTGTAGTGGTTAAGGCCTTTGTGGTATGGCAGTTAAGAATAGGGTTAAAACTCCACTCTACCCCTTGTGATCCCAATACCCATCTCCCTTCGTCCATTTCTCTAGTTCTACAAAATAAATAAAAATAAAATAAAAATCAAACTCAAGTGATTTATTTATTTCAATTTTCACAATAAAAGTTGTTTCTTTTCCTTATCTAACTTGCATGGAGTGTAATTTGCAATTCATAATTAAGTTTTTACAACATAAATCATAATTGAATTAAGAATTTACAATCTTAATT